AATTTTGTTAATCAATGGAATTTAGTTAATAAAGTTATGAATGTGATGTGATTACATATTCAAAGAATTGTTAAATGGTTTAACGGTATTGTGTTTATAATAAGGTTTAGAGGATCAATGGGAAATGAGGTAATAGAGATGAAGTGTGTGGAGTGAATGAGAGTTCTTGTTGTGCTTAGAGAATGAGGTGTTATTAATTCGGTCTGGAAATGAGAATGAATGTTGGTCGATTACTCACTCGGCGAGGCGCAATCAGAGGAATTGGTTTCGTTAATTAAATGTGGAAAATCACAACAAATGGATGCTGCTGCACTGGAGGCAGTGTGTCGATATTATATATTCTCGATCCCCGTTCGCAAAAACCAGTCGCCGTCCTTGTTCGTCCTGCCGCAGCAGACGTGTGTTAGAAGGGAGAGGTGTTTGGTATGGGAGATGAAGGCTGATCGTACTTTCTTCCTTGTTTTGATCGATTTTCGAACACACATGTTGTTCGAACTAGGAAGTGCCAATCAAGGATCGTCAGTGTCGCCTCGACAAAAGAGGAGGTCGTGAATGCCATTCGAAATGTTGGATGTGAGCTATGGCCGGGTGACAGATCCGTGCTGGGTAATCCATATTTCGGGCCGTGACTTCTTCGCTCCTGACCCCAGGAGGATGGAGTCACACAGCTCACCTCTTTTTCTACGGCTCTCCAACCTCACGAACTCTTCGTCTCCACAACTCTCTCGTCTCTTTCTCTTTCTCGCGCTTTCCAACGAAACTATCTTTTTCTTCCTCTGTGTCTCTGCCCCCTTCTCGAGCCGGTGGAAGAAGAAGTATTATGGCATGGTAGTAGTATTAGTAGTAGTCGTAGTGGAAGAGGAGAGATGCGATAGGATGGAAGCGAAGTTTTCGTTGGGGAAACGAAATAAATTAGTCTGGCGAGCAAATCGCGTTCGGGTCTCTCCACTTTTCCGCTTCTTCTTCCTCCAGAGTGTGCTGGTAACGGTAAAAGGCGGGAATAAATTTGCGCCCGAGCGGGCATTGTATCTGAATCGTGTTGCACAGAATGGGAAATTAATTCAGAGAGAGCCACACACTCGTTTCCGAGTCCGTATTTCAAATTATCACCAGATCTGACAGCGACAACAACACCTGCCCATTGGACTGACTACATGTGTGTTTGCGCAAACGAAATACGGATCGGGGGGAGCCCTAAAACCGTACGGGAAGAGCTAATCAAGAAGTCGAGGAGGCCGTTTTGCACATGAGAAGCGATCGCCTCGCGATTTCACATTGCTTCTGCAACCAGCTCTGCAACGTTCAAAACTCTTCTCTCACCAATAACTATTCATTCTTATCTTAACTCCTTTCCGTTTTGTACTATTTTCTCCTAAGCTTCTTCTTCAAGTGATTAAAGTTTTGAAAACAACGATTTTTTTTATAAGCATAAAGACACAATTTATTTTAAACGTACATTGTTCAAAGATTAAAGTCTGTAAATGTGTTTTCGAACAAAATAATTTTACAGAAGTTTACATCACAGTTTTAATTGAAAATAATCTGACGCAATTAAAATTGCATAGTAGACTGTAGAACTTAAGTATCGATAAAAACTTTTTTTGTAGTTTTTGCTTATAGTACAAATATATAAAGTACATTACACATTTATTAAATTACTAATAATTGTACGTCATGCGAGAAAAATGACAAAAATTGAATAGCTATCATTTTCAAAACGTGGTTAAATACTAATAATGTGTTTATACTAAATAATTTATTTGTTATAAACTGTTTTTTTGAGACCGCGTATTTATAACCCCGCCGGGTATAAAACTTTGAAAACTTATAAAATCTTTGTTTTGAATTTACAATCTCAATTTTGATCTAAAACAATTGATTACAGTGCATTGCTATAATGAGATAAATTTACAAGTTTATATGAGTCTCAATGTTAATTAATAATATAAGATATGTCAATTCAATTAAGATTTTGCTAATTGGTAAATGAACAAAGTTGCACTTCTGAAGTAAAAATCATGACATTGATTTTACTATTATTATACCTTTGATACTTCTTCCCAAATTTTACTAATAAATTCATTCGCATGACAATAACATTAATTCTTTTATTTATATTATGATCTAATGCAAAAACGAAAAGAAAACTTTAATTGGCGTCACTAAGTTAATAAGTAGTCAAATATGAATGATTTTTATGGTGTCTTTAAATTTTAGTTCTGATTAGTCTAATACTTAAGTATTTTTCGAATTGTAATTGTTCATCAAATTGTTGCTTAGTAAATTAATAAAAATATTTCAGTAAGTTTAGTGTTATGCAACTGAACGTGCAATAAAACTGTATCAGATGCTTGTTGTCAGATGTCGCTTTTGGTGTGGATGCCATGAGAATGCTGTGTATATCGTGCGTCACGCATGCAAAATGAATGGAGATGGAGAGATGGATAAATAAACAAGGAACAGCTTCTCTTGTTGTCGAAGAGTATGCGTATGTTCGAGGAAAGTACGTGTCGCACCTCGACGCTCATATATATTTATGAATATGTTACTTACTCACTTCGGCAATTATAAATCTCCGCTCTTGTCCGTTTGAGGTGTTTGCGCCAACACGAACGAATCTACCAAATGCAAGCAATCACTTGAGCTGACCGAGTGACCGCAACTACTAAACACCAAGCTCGGCCTTCTCCTAATGACAAAACTTCATTCACTTTTTTTTTTGCGTTTTTCGATAATGCTTTATCAGTCGAGAGTGGAAAGTTCCTCTAAAAAAAAAAACTACTCCAGACGCAGATAACATTGTTCAAACAGACAACATGCAGCACTCCCACGCAGCGTCTCTTTCTCTGACGCTCGTCGGGGGGATGAACGTGCCTCAGATGGATCCACGATCATTAAAACGTTCCGAACCGTGGATAAAATCCAATTTTGGTTCTTCATTCTCCATTATTTTTGCGTCACATGAAAACTGCTGCGATTTTTCACGGTCTGCTACCTCGCAAAGGGCATTCCTCCGGTGAACTCTAAAAATACCAAAACGAAAACAAAAACAACTCGTAATGGGAATGTATTTTACTTATAAAATCAATGAATTATTGCATTTACATACATAATTTAACGAAAATATAAATTTTGAAACAATAGTAAGTAATTATAAAACGCTTTACTATTAGGAATTTTCTATTATGTACTAATCTATGTTTGTTCTTATCTACTACATAATCGATAGTTGATGAATAAACATTAAAAACTACTTAATGAAAGCTATTACATTTGAGCGTATTAACATTGACGACCATTATTAATTGAAGACTCTAAATTTGTTCTATTAAATCCTGATAATTTCTTGACTTTTGTCGTGTGCATTTTTAAATCCATATAAAATTGAAGGTATTATAGCTAGTGAACGCAGGTTCAAATCCTGATCAAGCCAGGCCCTTTGTGAGCTCTCTCGGTGCTTGAAGCAATAGGGTCATCGTTCATCACAGATGGACAGTGAAATGAATGAGGGACCTTCAGCCAAGTCGATGGAAAATGATAGCAGCAGATTCTCAGTCAAAGAAAATAGTGGAATCGCAGAGCATCAATATACTACTGAAGTGAACCTACAAGACGACAGCCAACCAAAAAATTAAAATCAAATCATCATAATCGTAACTATCCACCGGGAAAAGATTTAATGTTGCAATTTTGGATTTGATGAATTTCTACAAAATTGGGTTATTTATTTAGTTGATCACTTTTACTATGTATCAAGTAGGAATGGTTGCAGACATTCCACTTATATAAATAAATAAGATTATAATACATACATACCTTGGTCGCCTGTATCACGAAAATCTGATACAAAAGGTCGTTGGTTCGATTCCCAGAAAGCAACAAAAATTTGTGGAAGCTGATAAACCCGAAAGGGGTAGAAATAGGGAAAAAAAAACATACATATTTATGTTTTATATTGACAAATTAGTTCTTGTTCTTATACTGCTTTGTATTATACGGATTTCTATTTATAAGATGAAGGTAAGAAAATATGAACTAATGTGGATTACGTAATTTACAATATATCAAGAAAGTTTTATAAATATAGAATTTTTTATAGATTATTATTATCTTAACGATTCATTTGCTGCTCAAAATTCTAGCTTTTTCGTCATAACTTATGGAATAATCTTTAATTTATAGAAGCTATAATAACATAACAATCTTTTGTTGTTATATGAAAGTTATAGTTTTAGTTGAGATTTTAAACATATTAGCTTACAAAGATTGCAATTTTGTATTCAATGCCCTTGACGAATGAACAAAGAAACATTTTAGTTGCTCTTCACCTCAATACATCGGTTTCATTTCGATAAATACTACATCAATGTTATTATTTTTGTTTCATATAAACGTAAAAAGTAGTTTAAACATTGGTAATTTTTGTTACAGAATTTAAAAAAATTGAAAACAATGAGTTTTTAATGCGAGCAGAGAAAGAGCGATTTTATTGTTTCGTGTTTTGTTGTTTTGTAATTAAAATAGTTGTTCTCCCCGTGTTATTTTGTAAGTGTTTGATATTTAAGTAATTGTAGCGATTTCTTTCAAGGCCTCCACCTCGGCTCTCCGGGTCGATTGTTCCTCTTTATCGCACTCGCACGTCTTTCTTAAAAAAAAAATCTTTCTCTCTCTCTCTAAAATCCACCTCGGCGCTGCGGTTTTATAAATATATTGCTGGAATTTATGTCGGTGGAATTGTATTGAAAAGCATTTAATTACATGAGAGAGGCTCACTCTCGGTCGCGTTTCGTAATGAATTGATGCAGCCATCTCTCCGCATCTCCTGGCCCTGCAAGAAGAAGGACTCTTATCCACCCGTTGCGTAAAACCCAATAATAATAATACAACAATCGCAATCAGGAGATAACTTTAAACTATTCTGAAAAAAGAAACTTGGTTTACTACTCCTTTTCAATAATCTCCATTGCAACAGCATCGTAATTACAGTCCCGAAATAATTGCGTAATGAATTGCCTGTTTTTTTTTTATATTTAATGGAAAGAGGAAGTAATCGATTTGGTACTAATTTTCTCTCATTAATGCGAGACCTTCAATGAGATTTCTTTTTGGTTTAAAGGAGCAACAAAAACGTTGCAGAAATTTTACGTTCAGAAGGATTAATTAAGGACCTGGTTGAGGTGCGGTGAAACGGCGGAGCGAGGGGAGACGAGTGTAATTATGATTTCGAGAGAGCTGGTTTTCATGCAGCTTGCAATTAAGTTTCCAAAAAGTCGACGTGAACCAAAACGATTTTCGTTTGCTACTGCATTGATTTCACACCAATTATCCACTTAATTCTTTCGGAAAGCAGTTTCACTTTTGCAATTCGGAACAAATCCCTCG